GAGAGGAAAACAACAAGAAAAGGGACAAGAAGAGAGGGACAGAACCTAGAACAGATAATGGAGCCCCCTGCCTGTCTTTGCCTAGGGCCCCAAATTTCCTAAATCCGCCCCTGAATACAAGCAGACTTCAGAACATTACCAAAAGAAAAGCTTTTTTTGTTTTGTTTCGCAAAAGAGAAAAAAGTTTGTGTTTTTAGGATATATTATGGATGTAAAAAAAAAAGATTGCTGTTCTAGGGAATATTAATGGACTACTATTTATTCTTTGTGATGTTTATGGATTACAAGAACAAATTAGGATTAGAGAATAATTCTTAATTCATTAAAGAGCTTAAAAAACAACATTCCCAACTGAATCTTAGGAGGTTATAGTTGTGATGATGATGATGAATAGGGTGATTGATTCCCTACAAAATATTGAGACCATGAGTTTAATTAAACTATTGCAAGATTCTGCAAAAACAATTCTCTGGTTGACATCTGCCGATATTTTAGCAACAGGCTGAGAGAGTTTCCATGGATTAAGCCCAATGGTTCTTGTATGTCAGGAATGAATTTCTGGTTGGTGAGCTAAGAAATGTTAAAATCCACCTTAGACTAGTATCTCTGCAGCCCCAGCAACGGATCACTGCGCTGTTATACTGATATTTCACTCAGACAAAAGTGTTGGAAATTCAATGCAAGCTTGTTAAACGATGAGCAAAACTGTCAGATGTTGAGAGGAATTTGATTTGCTGTTAAAGCGAATGGAGAAATTACCAGCCAGGGGAATAAATTGGATTTTTATAATATAGACAAAGAGTTTTTCTATTAGATCTGGTAAGAAAACATGTACAGAACAAAAAGAGGTGGAAAGAAAATTGATTCAATTTGATTTAATAAATGATTTGTGATTCGGATTGGAAAATTGAGGAGCTCGATGCAACAGTGAAGAAGAAAGCTTTGGGTAAACCACCAAGGAAAGATGACAGCAGAGCTGCAACTATCTATGATTTTGCAAATTTATTAATCTGTTAATTATGTTTTTATTAATCGATTAATAAATCGGATAGCCAGAGTTCCTTAAAGAAGATTTTTTTACGCAATGAAACCAGGTGAAAATTAAACTTTTCCATTTCAGCAGTTCTAAATGGAGCAGATTCACAGATTAAAGTTTTTTTTTTTTTTTAAATGCATATATATATATATATATATATATATATACACATTTATTTATTTTTCCAATTTGGTATAATTCCTGCTCTAAG